TCCGTATTCCCCCCCCCCCCCGCCCCTGCTTCCGCCCCCGTGCCCTTCTTCCCCCGTGGAGGTGGTGCGGTTCGAGCCCCAGGGGGTCCCAGACGGCCAGACCTTCGGGAGGCGCCTCAGCATGGCCAAGAATCCCTCGAAGGTGGCCAAGTGGGCCAGCGAGGTGGAGGACCTGTCCTACCCGCCCGTCAACCTCTCTTCCGTCGAGGAGAGCTTGAGGGCGCGGAGGGTCGAGGTCGAGGACCGATGCCGGAGGACCCTGTCTGCGGAGGACCTCGCCCGCGCCCCCAACAGCAAGGAGTTCCTCATCAGCGGCCGCTTCAACCTCGTGTGGTGCAACGTGTTCAAGGCCGCCTCCTCCACGTGGCTCTTCAACTTCCTCCTGATGGCGGGCTTCACCGAGAAGGAGCTGCAGAAGTCGAGCTCCTCCCCGGTCGAGCTGGCCCGGAAGCAAGCCTACGCCCGCCCGTCGCAGGACGAACTCCGGGCGGCGCTGGAGAACCCCGGAGCCACGTCCTTCCTGATCGTCCGCGACCCCTTCGAGCGCCTCCTCTCCGCCTACAGGGACAAGATCGAGTCCACGAAACAGAAGTTCTACAGGTAAACAGATTAAACACTCCACCCCCCCTCCCCCGCCCGTAATATACCTAGGGTTATTTTGGGCTGGGTTGTTCTATACCCGGGGTAGGTAGTAAGGGCTCGGCCAGTGTATACCCCGGGTAGTAACTCTCTAAGGCAGAATGTATTTGAAATATATTTTAATTGTTTGTGCAGTAATCCCACAATAGCAAATAGTCTTTTTGCTCCTACCCTGACCTATCCCACCTCCACTCCTACCTAGCCCTGCCCCACACTCCCTTTTCCCTTTCCTTCTTCCCGTAACCTCCCCACCCACTCCCTCCTCGTCCCCACTCCACTCTTTCCCTCCCCATTTTCCCTTCTCCCTTACCCGCCCTCTCCTTTCTCCCTCCCTTTCCCTGCCCTCTCCCTCCCTCCCCTTCCCTTCTCCTTTTACTTATCTTACCCTCCCTTCTCTCCCTCACCCTCCCCACGCTGTCCCTCCCCATCTTCCCTTCTCCCTTACCCACCCTCTCCCTTCTCTCCCTCCCTTACCTTCCCCCTATTCTCTCCCTTACCCTCCTTACCCTCTCCCTTCTACCTTCTGTGTGCTGTGTCGTCCAATGGTTAACGTGCTGGTCTTGCAATCTTGCTGATCCGCGTTCGATCCCACGCGCTGCCAGTGGATGGTCACCTCGGCCATTCCTCGCACACAGGGGGGGGGGGGGGGGGATTTAGAAGCAAAAAAAAACAGTCTGCCACAGCAAAGAATATCCACTGTAACAAATGGAATTGATACCAAATCTAGATCTAATAATGAAACTAGATCTAAATCTAATTTGTTTCCCTTTTTCCCTTCTCTTCTCCCTCCTCGACCTGAAGAACCCTTAGGTGCCAGATCCAGCAGAAGGCCGTGCAGCGCAGAGGGACCCGAGACTGCCAGCCGACCTTCCCCGAGTTCGTGGACTACCTGCTGGAGGAGCGGGCGAAGGGCCACGCCCCCAACGAGCACTGGGCGCCCTACTACTCCTTCTGCTCGCCGTGCCAGGTGGCCTTCGACTACGTCCTGCGATTCGAGAGTCTACCGCAGGAGGAGGCCTTCCTGGTGGCCAAGGTACGGCGCCGAAGCGGGCTTTCGTTTTATTATTATTATTATTATTGTTATTGTTATCATCATCATCATCATCATCATCATCATCATTATTATTATTATTATCATATCATTTTTATTATTATTATTATTATTATTATTATTATTATTTATCATCATCATCATCATTCATCATCATTATTATCATTATCATTATTTCATTATTATTCATCATTATTATTATTGTTATTATCATTATTATCATTGTTATCATTGTTGTTATTTATTATTTATTTTTGCTCTTATGGATTCACTCTTTTTAATAATCTATTGTCCTTCTTTTTTTGTTTTTTGTTTTTTCTTTTTTTTGTATGTACATTAAGAAAATCGACTATGTTTCTTTCTCTTGTTATTGTTTTAATGTTCGTGATTGTTGCTGTTGGTGTTGCTGGCCGTACTTGTAGGTTCCTTATCATTGACAGTTATTACGCTTATCATGGTTATTTTTTGTCACTGTTCAGTCATTTGTTATTTGTCAGTAGTCGTTTTCATTTTCATTTTCATTTTTCACCTTAATATTTCATTATCTATTTTATTACTATCACTGTCATTATTATTATCATCATCATCTTCATTATCATTGTCATTGTCACTGTCACTGTTATCATCATTGTCATCTTCATTGTCATCATCATTGTCATTATCATCATGATTGTTTATGATATTATCATTATCATCATCACCGCTAGTAGCATGATTATTATTAGCATTATCATTATTGTCATTATTATTATCATTATCACTATTGTTATCATTAGCATCATCATTATCATTGTTGTTGCTGCTGTTGTA